AAAAGAAGAGGGATGAGCGTGGAGGCCACGTGGGAGACAAGCATCCCAGGCACAAACAAGTAGCCTGCATGCCCAGCCAGGCGGAGACATCAGATTGGCCATCACACGTCCTTCAGAAGACCTGCAGGGGCAGTAGGTGAGGTCAGGACATTAGAGAGATTGGATGACCCCCAGTTTCCAGGCCTCATGAAGACTTTCTAAGTGATGTAGGAAGTCCATGCATGTTGCCCACAAAGGAGAGACAAACCACTCTGTGCTTAGTGTGGTGAAGGGAGACGTCCTCCCTCATGTTGGAGATGGACAAGAGGCCAAGTGCAGAGAACGGGAGGCTGGGAGGGACCAGGAGAGCTCTTTTCACGACGCTCCCAGTGGCCCATCCGGAGCACACCAGTTGGGAACTTCTGCTGTTCAGCGTCCGGGGACACAAAGGTAGGCCCATCGGGACAGTAACTGCTTCAGGTCCAGGTTTTAATTTACACATATGAGGTGTAATCCAAAAATACAGTGAATATTTAAGTTAAAAATGTATTATAATAAAAGACAAATTGCCATTAACCCTCCTCAAAATACTCTCCCTCACTTGAAATGTAATCATCCCATCATTCTTGCCACTTTCTGCAGAAGCTCTGAAAGTCCTCTTTCATGAGTGTCTTCATGAGATGTGATCAGAAATATGGTGAGGACGGCTGCTGAGTGCTGCCCAACAGAAAGGCAGCTCATAAAAACATGGCGCTGTGTCCTCATCTGTTGGTCACCTGATCTGGCACTGGGTGACTTCTGGCTCTTCCTCAAAGTCAAAATGACCATGAGAGGGGAACATTTTTAATCCATTCAGGACATTAAGGCCATCACGACAGCATTACTAAAGACACAAAAGAGAATGTCCAGAACTGCCTGAGAAAGTGGCAAGAATGATAAGTGTGTTCCAAGTGAGGAGGAGGATTTTGAAGGGATTGATAGCCATGTGTCCTTTAGTATTATGGAAGGTTTTTTTTAATTTAGTCATTCACCATATTTTTGATTACCTCTTGTATCTCAGAGATCCTGAGTCGAAGTTCCAAGCTCCAATACCCAAATGGGAATTCCCGAGCCCCAGTGTCATTGAAATTAGATGTTTTCTTGTGTCACATCTTAGATCAGTGCTCTTCGAATACAGATGAGAGCTCTGGGCGTCCATGCAGGTGCAGCTCTGTCCTCGTCCTGGGGAACCATCGGCTCGGGCCACTCTGCCCGCTCTCCCTGCATCTGCACCTGTCCCACCTGGAGAACGAGTTCCTGGTCCTCCTCTGTGGGCTCCTTCCACTCACACCAGCAAGGCTTTAGGATCTGTGTCTGCACAGAGCTCAGTAGTAGTAGAACAGTACCCAGATATGAGTGCCTCATGTAGGTAGGAGAATCCCTGTCACTCTCCACAGCCCTGGTCAGATTCCCCTGCCCTGACCCAGACTCATCTCCCACTTGACCTCCGTTCCTACTGACCCACTGCCATGAGCAGATATCTGCACAGCGAGGCTTGGACTTGGCCTAGTCTTTGCCTGCCTTTATTCTGTAGTAAATCATTTATTGTTCTCAACCTACCGGTGGCCATGTGGCACCACCATGACTTTGCTCATGCTGCTCCTTCTCCCTGAAGTCGCTGTCCTATTTTCTCCACCAGGTGAACTTTCACTTGACCTTCAGGGATCCACCAGGCATCTTGGCCAAGTGTCCACAGCTAATCTCCCAAGCACTGAGCCCCCTACACTGTGACACACCCCATCAAAGGGAAAGCATTGCTATGTCCTGTTCCCACCATCCTCTACATCTTTAGTGGCCAGAGATGACTTTGTTTTGATATCTGTTCCTAAATCCCTGCGTCCTGCCACACTTAGCTGGGAAAACATTTGCAGAACTCGGGCTCCTCTGCTCTGTTTACTCAACAACTTCAAATAGTCCAAATTGATTTCTCCTTTGTATGAATGCCAGCCTGAATCAAGTGACTTAACATGTAATTGTTCTTTAATTCTTTAACTTTTACCTGTGTTTTTCACGTGGTTCAATATACAAAGTACTAGAATGTCTAGCATAACAATAAGCACATGCTATACATGCAAAATACTTACAAATTGCTTTACTAACCCTAATTTTCACTCCACTGTATGAAGGAAGTTGACTGTTCCCTTTATTGAGGAAGTGATTATGAACATTGTTCAGTAAATATTCAAAATTACATTTGAATTCTACACATGAAGTATGGTTAAAATTGTGACAGCCTTAGGTGCATACAATATTTGTGTTCTTTTCAATGACTACACAAAAATCCACAAAGAGGGTAAATCCAAAAGGAATGAGATCAGTATGCTTGGTCACACTTTTCCAAAAGTTGTATGTCTTTGAAACTTCCAGGGCTGAAATTGTTATACAAGCCAACATTTAGAAGTATACATATTCTATGTTAATACCATTATATTGGCTTGTAAGCCGATATAACTTGATGAATATTACCACTCCCTCAATTAATGATTATATCAGTATATGAAAATGTCATATGTAATAAATAAATATTGTTCATATTTCAATTTTTATGTTCCTTATTTTGGGCACCAATATTAGCTTCTGTAGGAATTTAAAGGAGAAAAATAAATGTAATTTTCCAGGTGCTCTTGTTTAACAACATTTGGAAATTTATCATAAGCATTATCTTAGTCTATTCAAGCTACTATACCAAAATACCACAGGCTTGGTGGTTAATAAACACTAGAAATTTATTTCTGATGGCTTTGAAGTCTGGGAGGTCGAAAATTAAGGTTCTGGCAAATCTGATATCTCATGAGGACCCATTTCCTGGTGTTTGGATGTCAATCTCTTTCCCCTAAGCCCACGTGGTAGAAGTGCTGAGGGACGTCTCTTCAGCTTCTTTTAGAGGACGCCGGTCATGTTCATGCGTTTGTGAGTCCTATTCATGACCCAGTTTCCTCCCAAAGGACCCTCATCCTTGTAACATCAGGTCAGGGGAAGGACTTTGTGATAGTTGATTGATTGTGTCAACTTGCACAAGTAACACCCCAACTAATTTGGCTCAGCAAAGCTCTGGGTGTGGAAGACCCGCCCTAGGGAGGCTCGCCACCAGAATGGGATGAAAGGAACACCAAGAAGGCAGGCTCACTTCAGTCTTCAGAGGGGCGCCAGTCTTGACCCTCACCTTGGACTTTGCCTCCTGGCTTCCGGCACAGGCCCATTGGCCTCGTGATGTGGACTCATGTGAGGCCCCACACTGAGCTCCAGGGCTTCAGCTGGGTCCTTCGGATCCCCAGGGCACAGGTAGACCTTTGCACTCTTCCACACCTGACTCTGTGGGTGGCCATTGTAAACCAATCTTGCAAATTCTTATATATTTGTATATTTTGTATTAAATATATTTCTCTAATAAGCAGTAACCGATACAGATTTCAAAACATGAATTTGAGGAGACACAAATTTTTGGCCCACTGTGTAGACACTTACAATAGTATGCTTAAAATATGATACAGTACATTTGATTGCTATGGAACATTACTGCTTTTTAAAAATAAATTCAGAACAATCACTAAACATTTACAGATAACTGCAAATTCTTAGCAGGCTGCAGAGTTTGAGACGAGATTCAGTTAAGTAGCTATTTTTAGATGCTCTTATTGTATCTGACTTTGTATTTAACAACTGTCCTGTCAAATTACTGTACACATTTCATTTTATATTCTTACAAAGTGAAGGAAACTTAAAAGTTGTAAAATAATAAGTTGTAGAACAGAGGAATTTATAAAACAAGAAACCTACCCTGGAAATATTTTTATACCATCTAAAGAGCAGTTAGTACATTTGCTCACATAACTCTAGTATATTTTTGTAAAACTGTCTTGCAAGTGACTATGTATTTTTTTCAAAAGATATTCTTGTTTTATTCATATTTCTGAACAATTTAACAGGTTAGCTCCTAATGTGTCATCCTGGTAGTTTATTTTAGACCATCTTAATAAGATTCTTTGAATAACTGTTTCTTTAAATATATTCCTATGGAACAGATCAGCAATAAATATTTTTTAATATTTTTGGCTTTAAAATATATTTTTAAAACTCTGAAATGCTTTTTCATAGCTTGCAGTGATTTAAGTGCATATGTGGGACCCTGAGGTCCTGTGTCTTAGTGCTAGGTCTTAGTGCTAGAGTTTGGCTCCAAAGCCTGTGTGGTAAAGGCACAGCCTCCAGCATGGTGCAGTCTGGAGGTCCTGGAATCCTTGGGAGGCAGGGTCCAGGGGGAGATTTAGGTCATAGGAGGTATGCTTGGGAAGGGGATGGTGGGGTGCTGGTGGATTCCTCTTTCTCCTTTTGTCTTTTATCCCTTGTCATGAGGTGAACTCAGCACCCCTGGCAAGCACTCCCACAGACTATGCCACTGTGGGCCCAAATCGGAGACCAATCCATTGTGGAGTGAACTCTCCAAAGGTGTGAACCATAATAAACCTTTCTTCTTTTTAATCTGATGGTCTGAGGCATTTGTTATAGTAACAGAAGGCTGATGAACACACTTAAGTGATTCTGAGTCTGTTGAATCCGCTCTTGGAGCTATCCATGATGCTCTGTTCTAAAGTTCAGTTTGTCCTAGGCCAGTGGTTCTCAAACACTGTGGTATTAGGACCTCTTTACACTGCAAAAAGAGTCAAGGACCCCAATAAAGGCCTTTCATGTCATCTGCATCTGCCATTGTCTATATTATTAGAAATGAAAATGGAGAAACATTAAAAATACTTATTTAAAACAATAAACCCATTATATGTTATGGTGAATAATATTTTTTGTTAAAAAACAACTCTGGACTGGGGGGGTTAGCTCAGTGGTTCCACTGCCTGCCTTGCAAGCACAAGGTCCCAAGTTCGATCCCTGGTATCAAGAAAAAAAAAAAGCTCTATTTTTTTCAAAACAAAAATGTCAGTGAAAACAGCAGCACTGCTTTTACATTTTGAAAACCTCTTTAATGTCAGGCTCAGTAGAAAAATAGCTGAATTTTCACATCTCTCTGCTTCTCATTCAGTCTGTTACAAGATGTTATTTTGGTTGAAGTATATGAAGAAAATCAAGTCTCACACGGTGTCTTAGTCCTTTGTTTGCTGCCATACAGAATACCTGAGATTAAGTAATTCATTTACAAAAGAGATTTATCCTTAGAGTTCTGGGGTCTGGCAAGTCCAAAGTCAAGGAGCTGCATCTGGGGAGAGCTTCCTGCCTCATTGTGCGGTGGTAGAAGGTAGAAGAGCAAGACTCACATTCACACATCTGCATGACAGAGAAGGAAGCAAGAGGATCAGAGCTCACTGTTTAGTAAACCCTTCTGACAACAAGCCCATTCCCAAATAAAAATATTAATCCATTCATGGGGGCAGAGTGGTATATGTGGAATCCAAAATCAATCAACAAACATTTTGTTACATCACAATCTATTGGTATATCCTGCCCAGGTGATTTTGTAACATTATGCTTTGGTCATTTGGTTTATTGGGCTACACTGATCTTTCACACATTGTCATAGCTCATTCCACAACACTAAAACTCACTTATGAGTAAACCACTAATAAACATCACTATGTTATTAAAGATTAGGAAGCTGAAAAGTGGTAAAAAGAAAAGTTTCTCATCATTCTAATTTTCATATGAAAATTTGAATTTTATCATTAGCAAGAATAATTCCAGTTGAAGAATTTTTTTCCCTGGAGGTGACAAGCTCTTTTGTTTATTTTTGAGAAAATGTCTGGCCAGATATGCACATCGGAAATGTGTGGCTTATCTAGTGGTCAAAGGACAGAGGGTAAATCAATCCAGCCAGCCCAGCTTCCAGTCAGATGGCCATGGCCATGCTTTTCTATGTTGCAGTCGTGTTTGTAGCATACCTAAAATTTCACCATCCGACTATTTTTGAAAACACAAAAGTCAAGATTAGATTAGTCCCATGAGCACACCAGTGTTGCAGCTCATGACAGATCACATATTCAGTGGTGGTCCCAGTATCAGCTCGTCACCATAACATCACAGATCAACACGCTCCTCCCATATCATGGTGACAGTGACATAAACAAACCTACCACACCACCAGCCCTATAAAAGTATGCACAGTATCCAATGACCTGATAATGTTAATGAATGACTATGTTATGAGCTTATATATTTGCTATGCTGTTATGGTTAGAGTATATTTCCACTGACAAAACTAGTGTAAAACAATATGCCAGTTTCATGCATCTCATGTTTGCTGGGACTTTTGGTCACATCAAGAGGCCACATGCAGTCACCTCCACCATCTCCATCTGTGTAAATGCAATCTGTGATGCTCACGTGGTGAAGAAACTGCCTGAGGATGTGTTTCTCAGAAGTCACTGTTACTGCTTCCTGAAGGGCATTCCTAGTGAAATGGGCATTTTTAACAAATTGCAGGTGAACTGCATGAAAGAATACAGTGAATCAGAACCCACCACCTCCTTGAGTTCTTAAGAACCAGCAATTATACCCATTATTGCTTTTGCACCACCAAGGTAAACATCAGCCCAGTGAGAAGGACAAAGAGCACCTCAATATTACTAGGAAACTAGATGTGCCTGGAAGTTCTTGGGACGTCTTGGATTCTATGGACCACCTGTTGGGAATGACTGTCCTAATCAGGCCCAGGAGCATAGGTCCTGAGTGTCAGGGCCTCCAGCGGAGGAGGCATTGGCAAATCATCAGTAAAATTTTATACCCCAGACTCCACCTCTTCAAACTGTACAGCAGCCTCCACACTATAAAAATACGAACAGCTTCTTTGTACAGTTATAGATGAGTATCTGCAGTTGGCTTTTTTCATTCAGTGCAATCCACTCTATACAAAAATCCGTAAATTTAGGCCCTTCTCATTCCATTCTATTCTCTACAGAAATGGAGCTGAGTTCATCCACGTATTCTGCATCAGATTCTTGTTGGTAGGAGCGCGTGAAATCAGTTTTCCTGTGCCCTCCCTTCTGTGGTCACAAGAGGACCCTTACAGGTTTGCTTTCACCTTCATTGTTATTCTCTTCCGACCACAAGTCTTCCACAGGAGCCCTTTTTTGTGCAAAACATTCCCTTCTGATCTACTCCTTATGATTAGCTTTGCTAACCTAAAGTATATCATACACTTCACA